CCCCCTGGGAAGAACGACCATGGGTTTCCTGGGAGGCAGCCAGCCAGCCTCTCTCTGTGCCCGGAAAGGCGTTCTGCTCACTTTGACTGACGGCATTCCAGAGGTTCTTCTCCAGGTCAGGATCGGTCAGCGAGATGATCTCCAGGCGATCTTCGGGGATCTCATCACACACTCCTTGCTCCACCATGTCTGGCACCAGCTCAGAGAGGATACAGGATTCCTCTGCAGGGCAAAGGAACAATGGGGGGGCTGCCCGGGAGAAGGCGCGTGCGGGGCCCTCCCACGCCTCTGGCCCGCATCCCTCACTCACCCTCTTCCACGGCCGAAGCCAGGAGCAGCCAGACAAGGGCCTGCTTGTCCGGGTCCACCAGGAGAGGCCAGCGGTGAGCCCGAGCGTGAATGCCGGAACGCAGGATCATGGCCGCTAGCCTGCTTCCAGGGTCCTTGGGCTTGTGAACCCTGTCCCAGAGGCGCTGCTCGCGAGGAGAGCTGAGCAAAGAAGCGAGGCACAGGGGGCTCTGCACCGCCAGCAGCGGGGGCCCAAGAGAGGCCGAGCTGGGGCACGGCAGCACTGGCCGCAGGAGCCGGCCGATGTCGTCTGGACCCAGGGGGACCTGCGCCCCCGCACACAAGGCCTGCCACTTTTCCAAGAGCTCTTCTCGTCTCGTTGGGGGGAAGGGGCCCAAGTAGCAGAGGGCAGCTGCACAGAGCAGGGCGTTGCCATACAAAGTGCTCTGCTGGTGCTCCAGATCCTGGGGAGAAAAGAGGACACGGCGGGCCATGCATCATCCTGCTGGAGAGGCACGCCCGGGTACCCTGGCCAGGGAAGCCCTCGGGTCATCCTTACCTTGGTGAGCACGGTCCAGTTGGCCAGGTGCTCAGCCACCGAGTTCTCCATGGTGGTGGCTTCCTCCTTGGCCTGAAGAGACTGTGTGAGCTGCTGAAGCAGCTTCTCCTGGCGTTCTTGCTTCACCTTCAGCTCCCGGATCCGGGCCTGGGTGGCATCTCTCAGGTGCTCAGCGTGCAGGCGCCGATCGCCCAGGTGCATTTTCTCCGTGTTGATCTGCTCGTCACAGCGCTGGAGCTGCAGCATGGTGGGCTGCCAGTCCCACAGGGCCAGGTGGTACCAGTAGATAGCCGAGATCCACTGGCTGAGGGCCGCTGCCGCATGGCTGGCGCTCCGGATGACGGCCGCGGAGAAGCCCTCGTCACGCACCGCTTCACCCAAGGCCCTGAAGACCTCCTTTGAAAGGGTGTCTTTGGGGTAGAAAACCAGGTCCTGGAGAAGAAAACAGGAGGAGGCGAGTATGGATGGGGCCTAACACTTTTATTATCAGTCCTCCTGTCCTGCTTTATATTGTTTTATATTAGTTTTTGTTGTTGTTGTTGTTGTTGTTGTTGTTGTTGTTAAAATTGTGGTTGTTTATCTTGATTTTATATTATTATGTTTGTTGTTTTGAACTGTGTATCCTTAATATGTAAACTGCCCAGAGTGGTCTGGTAGCCAGATGGGCAGTATAGAAGCCAAGCCAAGCCAGGCTAAGCTTGCTTCTTTTTTTCTGATGGATTCATTAGAAAAGCTTGGTAGACAAAGGGGGATGCTGGAGCTGCAGGTGTCCCCTGAATTCAGCAAGGCTTCTAGCACTGTCCTTCATGAGCTGTAAAAGGGTGGCCTACGTGATACCACATTCCGTGGACCTCTGATCTAAGATTCCACCTCCGACTGGAGAGGAGTGCCAAGTCCCGGGGTGTGACTCAGGTCTTACTGCTAGGGTCCAAAGGCACACTGGGGAAGAGGCTTTGTGGACATTTGGATTGGTCCTGGGGACCTTTTCAAAGAGCGAGGCTCTCATTTAAAATGTGCTGGAGGAGAGCTTTGCAGATACCTTGGACTGCCCGAAAGACAAACAAGTCATTGGTCAATCAAATCCAGAGTACATCGCGAGAAGGCAGAATTCTCTGGAAAAGACCATAATGCTGAGAAAGGTGGAAGGCAGCAGAAAAGGAGGAAGACCCAACAGGAGGTGAGTGGACTCCCTAAAGGCAGTCCCAGGCTTGAGTCTGCAAGAGCTGAGCAGGCAACAGGCCGCCCTCCGTAGCTGGCAGGCGGTGGGGGTGGTGCAGGATCCCCGAGAGGCATGGATCACATCAGAACAGCAGGCAAGGAGAGCAAGCCTCACCTGGTAGAAATCTTCCCTGTGGAGCAGCACTTTGGCATTCTCCCAGCCTGGCTCCTGGTGGAACATGACGCAGAGGACGTCGGTCACCCTGACCACGGGGGCCGGCGGCTGGCGGTAGCTGCGCAGCTCCTCTATGTCCTGCATGCGCAGGGACGCGAGGGCTGCCTTGTAGTCTTGGCTCACCTGAGAGGAGAGGGTCAGTTTGGCTGCAGAGCCTGCCTCTTTCTTCTCCCGCCCCCCCAGTCCGCCCCCCCCCTGTGCCCGTGGTGGTGACAGGGCAGCAGCCTCCTCGCTGCGCTCCTCTTTACCTTCTTCATGGCCTGCTCTTTCCCCTTCTCCAAGGCATCCCGTTCCTTGGTAAGGGCGTCAATGCGGGCCTCGTAGCTCTGGCACTCCTTCTCCTGTTGCTGCAGCACTTCTTGCTCCCGCTCCACCTCGCGCTGACTCTGTAACATTTGCTGCAAGGAAGGATGGAAGCCGGGTGGGTTGAGGGGAGAGAAAGAGAGAGAGAAAGAGAGAGAGACGCCCATCCACAGCCACTCCCCTCCCTGATGTCCAGAGGCCAAAACTGTCTTCCCTATGGCATTCCAAGTTACTATTTATTTATTTATTTGTTTGTTTGTTTGTTTAAAATGTTTTTACCCCACCTTTCTCCTAAAAAAGGATCCAAGGCGGCTTACATCAATATTTAAGATTGAAAACAGTAAGTCTACAGATGTTTAAAAAGAATCAAATATCACACTAAAATAGTAAACAAAACCAACACCAAAAACAGATTCAAGGCTCCATTAACCCCTTAGTTAATGACCTTAGGCAGCCAGTCACTCTGGGAAAGCCTGCCAGAAGGTCTTTGCCCGCTTGTGGAAGGGCAGCAAAGATGGGGCCATCTCTGCTGTCGTTGTGGGAGAGAGTTCCAGAGTCTCTGGGAGAAGCCACAGAGAAGGCTCTCCTCTCCCATGTCCCCATTGGACCCACCTGTGAAGGTGGTGGGGACTGAGAGGGAAGCCTCCCCTGATGATCTTAACACTCGGCCAGGCTCATAAAGGGAGATGTGCTCTTTCAGATAGCTTGGACCCAGAGCATTTAGACCTTTATAGGTTAAAGGCAAAACTTTGAATTGTGCCTGGAAACAGATTGGTAGTCAGTGGAGTGGCTATAGGAGGGCTTTTTGTGATCCCAGCAACCAGCCCCAGTCATCAATCTAGCTGCTGCATTTTGGACCCACTGAATTCTCCTGACATTTCCAGAGGCAGCCCCACATTGTGGTTTGGTAATCCAGCCGAAATGTAACTAAGGCATGTGTCACAGAGAGCAGATTAGACCTTTCCAGGAATGGGTGCAATGGGCGCACTAGTTTGAATTGTGCAAAGGCATTCCTGGCCAGTTCCTGCTGCAACCTGGGCATCCATGCTCAGAGACGAATCCAGAAGCACCCCCATACTGCGAACCTGAGTTTCCAGAGGATGTGCAACCCCCTGTTCTTTGCTCTGCCTTTCTCTGGATTAAGTGGTTAGCCCTTAAAATTACCATCACATTTTCTTTTTCTTTTAGTTGCACCTGCTCTTTAACAGGAAAGAGGATTCTGGCAAGTGAAAAGTTGTTAAAGTTGCACAGTTAGTCTTTGTTGTGTTTGTTATATTGATCTGCTAATGCAGCCGTCCCTCTGGAGAGAAAGAACTGGACGTTTCGCTAAGAAACACACAAACAGAAAGATGGCAGCCCTTGGCTTCTGGGAGACCCTCACCTCTTTAATCCGGACCAGCTTCTGCTGCAGGAGGCGCACATCCCGCGTATGCTCTTGCTGTTTCTTGCTCACTTCCTCTATCTTGAGGACGGCCAGTTTCATCCTGCAGACCAGAAGAGGTCTTGACTGAGTCTGGCGGAACCCAGGAGTGAGATCTGTGGAGACCTGCTATCCAGGTGGCCCATGATGAGGATTCTACACCTAGCAAGGGGCCGCAGGAAGGGGGCATTTCTCACCTCTCAGACCACTGGCACCAAAAAAGGTCCACAGGCAAGAGGGAGCACATCTCACATATGGGACCAAGTTCTTGTGGTCATAACCGGCCGTCAGGGTGCCTCTGACCTACTGTGACCCTACGAATGAGCCATCTCCAGAAGGGTCCTGTGCTCCATCATCCTGTCCTGCTCAGCTCTTGCGAACTCAAAACCTGTGGCTTCCTTTTATAGGGCAAAATTACATGGTAGAATTCGCTTCTTTCCGGAAAATTTAAAAAATTTAAAGAATGCATTAAAAAGTAAAGAGATAAGTAGATTAAAAGACTGGTTAGAGAAGATAAGAGGGAATGGGGATATAAAAAAGGTACTAGGAGGAGAAGGGATTTCATGGTTAAATCTAATTCAGTTAGAAAAGTGGACAAGAGAATGGTATACTAAAGAAGGGAAAGGTAGAAAAATGACACAATTTGAAGAGATTATAGAGAAAAGATTGAAATCAGAGGAAAAGACAGAAAGAAAAGGAACTGTAAGCCAAATATATAAATTATTAATTCAAGTTGAACAGGGTATTCTAGGATTAAAAATGCAATGGCAAAATGATTTGGATAAAGAAGCAATAGGAGAAGAATGGGATAAAATATGGGATCAGAGAATTATGAAGAACATGTAAGTAAGGATAAAAGAAAATTCCTATAAAGTAATATGGAGGTGGTATTTAACGCCGGTCAAAATGAATATAATGGATAAAAGTGTGTCAGCATTATGTTGGAGCTGTAAAAAAGAGAAGGGGATGTATTTACATATGTGGTGGTTATGCGAAAAAAGAAAGAATAGAATTTAATATTTAAAGAAATATCTGAAATAACTGGATTGAATATTCAAATGTCTCCGTTAATAGCCTTATTGAATCTGATTAAGGAAGATCAATTGGTGAAAGAAAATAAGGATTTGATAATAATAATGATTACGGCAGCAAGGATAATTTTTGCAAGGAACTGGAGAAATGATAATCAATTTAACTTGGAGGAATGGTATAGAGAATTATGGGACATGGCAATTAACGATAAACTGACATGTGATATGAAAATAAGTAGAGGCCAAATGAAAAATAATGAATTTAAGAAAATATGGAATGTATTTTTGGAACATGTATTTCGGAGAGGGAGGGGGTTTACACCGAGGGAAGAAACAATGAAATTTTGGAGTGAAAATGGATGGAACGAAGTGTAATGCTAGTCCTGAAGGTGATGGATGCACATGGGTAATTGTATTTTATTGTATTGTATTGTTTTGTATTTTATATAGGTTTTTTTGTGTAGTAGTAGGTTTATTTTGTATTAATAAAAAAGTTATATATATATATAAAAAAAGAATTCGCTTCATGAAGAAGTGGTGAAAGCCATCATATTGGATGGCTTTTAAAGGTGACCGAAAAAATTCACACAGGCTATAGGAGACTTCAGGGTGTTGGGGTGCCCGGCTGCAGAAGTGGGGCTGGGGGGGGTTCAACAATTTAAGAAGTGAGGATAGGAGAGGAATGTAATCTGAACAGATACGGGGCAGAAAAAGAAGTTCACAGTAGGAATACAGTATACTGAATAGTTTCTGGTGTACAGTACAAAGGTAAAGGTAAAGGTTGCCCTTGACATTTAGTCCAGTCATGTCCGACTCTAGGGGGCAGTGCTCATCCCCGTCTTCAAGCCATAGAGCAAACATTTTGTCCGAAGACAGTTTCCGTGGGCATGTGGCCAGCATGACTAGACACAGAACGCCGTGACCTTCCCACTGTGGTGGTACCTATTTATCTACTCGAATTTACATGCTTTTGACCTGCTAGGTTGGCAGGAGCTGGGACAAGTGATGGGAGCTCCCTGCCTCACATGGATTCAATCTTACGACGGCTGGTCTTCTGGCCCTGCAGCATAGAGGCTTCTGCAGTTTAACCTGCAGCGCCACCACGTTGCCTACAAAGAGGCGATTCCAAATTTAAGTTGGGATGACTGGGTGTAAGACTGATAGAGAGAGACCCCTCTCACCGGAGTGCTGACCGCTGAGAAAGAATGTCAAACCCCACCTGTTCCCCCACCTAGGAAGACAAGACCTCCTGGACCTGCTCCAGGGCGCATAGAGAGAGATCTAAAAGAACTAACAGTCACAGAGACTGGGACTACCTTGGCGGGCGCGGGAGAACAAGGGCGAGAGGTGGTGGGGGTGGGATTAGGGAACATAAAAAGGGGAGAAGGAGAATTGCCAATAGTTTGGGAGTGAATTTGGGTGGAAGACCCATGGACTGGAAAGACAGATAAACTGAGAATCCCGAAGGAAGAGGCGGGTGCCCGGAGGAAAAGAGAACTTAACCCAAAGCCATCATATTGGGGTGAGAGGGAGGCCAAAGAGTGGCAAAGGAAATAGAGAGAAGAAAGAGAGAGGGTGGAAAGAGAACGCCGAGAGAGGCTAGAATGGAGGATATGGGAGATGCAACAGAGGGAATACCAGGAACTCCGTGGCAGACGCGGGAACCCACCTGGGAGTATGACTGGGTGGATGTTTGAGAGGAGGACACCCTCCCCTTGCTGGAAGGAGAGGAGGGACTATTACTGAACCCTGAAACCCCACTGGAGTGGCCGGGGCCCTGGAATGACCTGAGCGGAAACCCCTTTAAGTTATAAGAATGGAACCCCCCCCCTTTCAGACCTGCTGTCAAAGGGGGAGAAGGTTTTGGACACATTTATAGATACTGGACTTTTGTTGAACAACCCAATAAATGTTACACCTGTTTCTAAATCAAAGAGATCTGTGGCATTATTTGAAAGGGAACAAGAGCCAACCAACGAACCCTCACTGTTGGCTGTTGGATTGGGAACCAGGGTGAGAACCCAGCCCACCCAAACCCCCCAAAAATGTGTTTGAGAGTAAACAGCACCTGAAATGATGAATTTTCAGGGGATTTGGGGGCGTATTGTGTGGGTTTAATGGTGTTGGGGAACTTCCATTGTTTTTTAAATTTGTTTGTTCATCTGGAGTTGAGGGCGAGGTGGGGGCGGGGAGGGATTTCACTAACTGGGACCAGAAGCAAGAATTCCCTTAACCTTCTACTTGATCTGTCCCGGGATCCAGCTACTATGTCAACTGAAACTTTTTCTGGCCTAGGGACTAGCATGCAGAGCTGTTCAGAGGCTTTTCTGCAACTCTCAGACCAATGAACATGCTTTGAAAACCACCTAATGACCCCTAATGACCCAAACAGCTTTTCCAAACAGCACAGAGCCTGTGGGTCAGCCTCGGTGGGCTTTGGGGCAGCCACATCAACACAACCAGCTTTCTGAAATCCAAGGCAGGGCAGGGCGTGAGGGAGAAGGCCTGGGGGTCCCTGCCTGCCACCAAGACAGCCACACCTACCGATCCGTCAGCTTGTTATTCTGCTCCTGCAGGCTATCCAGCAGCATGACCGCCGTTTCCAGAAAATCCAGGAGACTCTTTGGGCTGACAAGAGGAACGTGGGCGCAAAGAACAGTAGCATAGGCGACCGCAGAGGAGTGGATCAGGGCCGCAGCCTTGGCAGTGCGAAGCATCAAGTCCTTGTGGGCGTGCAATGATGTTGATGTTGGCTCTAATAGACAACGGGGGGGGGCATGCTCAGGTCACAGCTGCTTGCAGCAGGGGGAGTGGGGCGGGCCTTTGCTCAGCCCCACAAAGCTCACTAAGCCCAGGCCAGGAGAGGGGGCGGAGAGAGAGGGGGGTTACACAGAGAAGCCTATCCACGGCATCCATGGCATGCTTCTGGGGAACCCATGCACCCCAAGATGTATGACTTGGTATGCACAGGATAAAACCTTCTCTGGATATGGGTCAGAAGGCACTCCAGGGAGGAACGTGGAGAACCCCCCCCCACCCCCCACCAAGTGTCAGTGTCTGGGAGCCCTACATGGATATCCATGAAGAGGAGGGACCCCACCACCGCCACCTGAGACCCGCATGGTGGCTTTACCTACCTCGAGTGAGCCTCACAGAGAACTTGAAGTGCTTCTGAGCCACCTCCCTCAGGGACTCCAGGCTCCAGGGCCGACAGATTTCCAGGTGGCACAGCAGCTGGGCCAGGGCTGTCGCTGTGAGAGGGGGCAGGGCTAAGGAGCCGGGTCCCCCCAGCATCAGCACCACATGCAGATTGGAGCGCACAAACTGGAAGAACCTGCAGGGAAGCCAGAAGAGAGACTGGGAGAGGAGGAGGAGGAGGAGAGGGAGGCCTATCTCAGCTCCCAGCTAAGGCCCCGGATCCTTCCCCCTCCCTCCCTCCCTCCCTCCCTCCCCTCGCTCAGCCCTCTACCTCTGCAGAATGAGGTCGTCCCGCATGGTGCGCTTGATGCCCGGGTTCTCCTGTAGCATAGCCTGGATGATGGACAGGTGGTCTTCTGCGCTGTAGAGCCCAGGGCACGTCCCATCGGCCATGAGGGCCAGCACCAGGTGCAAGCCGGCCAGGCACAACCCCGAGGGCACCACCAGCACCACCTGGCGGCCCGTCACGCCTGCCTGCCAGCTGGCCAGCCGCAACAGCGCCAGCGTCTGGGCCTCGTCCGCTTTTTCCGACAGCTCCATCAGTAAAGAAGCCGTGGCTCGTGCCACCATAGCCACCAGCGTCCGCCGCCCTGTCCAACGGTGGAAGGAGACCAGCGCGCCGTGCCGGTTGGGGCCGCAGAGCAAGCGGCTCAGGCGCACCAGATGCCGCAGACCCTCCGTGCTCAGCAGAACGTCGGGGGCCAGCGAGGCGGCCGCCTGGCGCGCCAACCCCTTCCACTGCTTCTCTTGGTAGGGGTTGTGAGCGTTGGGGCCGTAGGCCTCGGG